TTCATTTGAAGTAAATCACTTTAAGCTCTGAGCAGCAGGGGAGCTTGAAGCATGAATCAAAAGTGGAAGGTTTTTTTTTTTTTTTCCTTCTTCCATTGGAAATACTTAGTTTTTTCAGAGACATGCTATTATTTAGGATTAAAATATCACATTGTCAAAGCAATAAAAAAAGATTTAAAAGGGGAGACGGGATTAAATTGCACTGAATTGGGACTTTTTTAATATTATATTTAACGAGTTCCTCATGTTTAGAAAACTTCATTTTCGGTGCCGTTTTCCATCAGTCACATGGGATTTAGTTCTATTTTTCCATTGAACATACGCCTAACTACAAAGTCTTCTACTGTTATTTTGTAGCAGAAATGCTCAATCTGTTGAAGCTTAGTGTCTTTTAAAACTTGAGCTAAGGACAATAATTTATATACCTTGTTGGATGAAAAACACAGAAGTCTGTAACATTACCCACATCTTCATCTAATATCTGTGGTCAGTTCTAAGTATGTCTGTTGTGTGTTTTTTAGATGAGAAGCCAGTGGAGTCTGCCAAGAGAAATGTCACTTCAAAGATGTCTCATTTTATGGTACAGTACTGTAATATTTTGGTTTATCTTGTGTCTTCCTTAGTGCAAGTCTTTTGGATTGAATTATCACGACTGTGTTTCAACTCCTACTCTTGAAAGTGTGAAATCTCAGGATTAAAACTCGCAGCATATGATTACATTTTGGTGTGTGGCCTTGGCTTCACGTTAAGCAGAGGTTAAATTTAGTTCAGGTTTGGCTTAATGCAAGTAGTGGTTAGAGTCGGTGTGAGTCTCAGAAATTTATGTCTTTGTGAAAATTTCTGACGTGGTTGGGACTGGTACTACTGTACTGTAACACAATATTTGGTTGTTTACTTTGTACTGTAACACAATCTTCAGTTATTTATATTTGCTTTTGTCAGATATTGTCTTCCTGAATCCAAAAAAAAATTCTAGACCTCATTTTTTAAAGCTGTAAGCATTGACATGCAGTCAGTATAAGCCATCCCTCTGTTCTGTATTGCTAAAACAGTAACTGCTCATTTATGGGTTTCTGGTTGGAGGTGTTCAGACTGTACACACGAGTTTACTAAGTTTGATAGTTTGGTGCAATCTTTTTTCTTCCTTAGCAAGACACTTATCTGTTTATCCTTTTACAAATTGACATTTTAGAAAAAAAAATCTTTGTAAATTTGTATTTAACTAAATTAATAATGTAGTTGAAGTGGAAGGTTTTGAATTGGAATGAACTGACTGTCACAGGATGTATCTGGATTTCAGTCTGAGTTGGATTGAATCCGATTGCAACTACATTTAACTTGGACCTGTTTCTTTAGATCTGTTCTCAGCCAATCTCGAGTATCAAATCTGGGTCACAATCAATTAGTTTCAGTGTTTCCCCTACCATTATCAAAGGAGGGCACCCCACTCTGTCAACAGAACTGAGCGCTCCCCCTACCGAACTGTCCTTCTTCCTGTCGACGACTGTAGCACTAAGCCAGCGGCGCGCAATACAGACGTGCTAAGTAAAAGCTACAGAGGTAGCGTTCCGTTTCCCTCACTCTGAGCAGTTTCTTTTGACCCTCCCCACCGGTCGATAACTGTCGGCACAAACGGCGCACAACATTCGTGTCTCTTCTCCACCCCCAATTTAAAAAAAATCACAGAATTCAACTCTGTTTATGTAGCGCCATGTCACAACAGAAGTCATCTCGGGGCACTGAACAGAAACATTCATTTATAAAAATAAGTTAACATTATTTATCTGAGGAGCAGACTTCTTTGAATTTAACTTCATCGTATAACTCTCATCTTGAGCAAGCACGAAGGCGACAGTGGAAAGGAAAACATGAGGAAAAAACCTCCAGCAGAACCAGGCTCAGGACAAGTGGCCGTCTGCTTCAACCGGCTGGGTTTGAGAGGAACGGGAAGGAGGACCAGATACACAATGGCAGGTCAAGAATCACATGTTAAGATAGAAATAGTATCAATAAAAACTATACAATTTGAACTATTCATTTAGGAAATGAGGTCAATTTGTCCTCCAGTACTTTAAGTCTATAGCAGCATAACAAGCCAACAAGATAGGAGCGCCCTGCCAAGGCAAGTGACTTAAGGAAAACATTGGTTTTTCATTGGTCTTTGTAAATGGTAGGTCAACGACAAAGATCCGGAGTAGAGTGTGGTCAACTCTTGTGATAGTTTTCCAGAGAGCATTGTCAAACATGAGTGGTTCCTTCACCAGAATCAAACCCACCATTTTTAAAACTTTCAACTGCAGCATTCTTTTTGATATTTACTAGAGGTGCACCGATTGCAGTTTTCTGGACGATCACAGATTTCTAAAAAGTCTGACCTGCCGATTCCGGTTTTGGCCGATACTGATTTTGCTTTATAAGCAACACTGTCAGGTGTTATAAGGTCACAATGCACCTTCAATTTTCCAATCTTATTTTATTGAAAAACATGCCCTTGAACAATATCCTACAAACAATACAAGCTTGTTTTAACTGCCCATCTGAAATATAAATGAAGTTCAGACAATTGTTGTTAAAACTAAACAAAATCGGTAAAATCTGTTTCCCATGCAAGTATTGGCCAATTTCCGATTTCCCAAAATAAAGGAAATTGGGGCTTTATCGGTGCACCCCTAATATTTACTTTAGATTTATTAAAATGGCCAACACTGTGGTACGATGAGGAAAATATGTTTGTGTGCTTGTTGGCTGACAACAGAATTCAGATGGAGCTAAACCAAAGTAACTCATTTCACGAGCTTCAACTGTTAGTGGGAAGGTGGCCTTGATTTGGCCATTACATTTTTGGAAACCTTGGCAGTGGATGGCGAGTGTTTTGTGACTTTTTCCACTTATTTTTCTATTCCTGTGTTGCGTTGCCTTGGATAGAAACTAACTTTGAATTTGGCTTGCAAAGGGTCATGTAGATGGGGACTTTTTTGAGCTCCCTCTGCTGGATCTTCAATTAAAATTACTGCAACTTTTCCAACATATTGTGGATCATTTACAGTTTGTAAATTTTGAGTTTAAAAGGGTCATTACAGATTTAATGCTTTCCACATTGAACATAATTTAGAATAAAATGATTGCTATGAAAGAATTTTTCCCACCTCATCTCTATCCAAGCTGTCATATTTTTGCCAGTATTTAAACGCATTAACTCTGAAAGTTGACAGCACAATATTAAGCCCAAATATTTCAATTTACAAATTTCCTGGTGATGTCATGGTTTATAAATGTTGCTGCTGTCTGTGCTTTTTCACTTTCTGGTTTCCTTGTAGCCTTTTCCAGTGCAGCTGTTGCACACCAGCTCCTCTCTGGAAGTTTGCTTCATTAATAACAAATTAAGCCATTCGTTACTTCACTTAGCTGTCCTGCACCTGGTTGCAAGCCTGGCCAAAGGCATTACTTCAGCTCACACTGTCCATTGAGGTCCGAAAACGACTGTGGGAAGAAAAGTTTAGAGCACTAAAAGAAGCAGTCAGGAGCAGAAAACTCAAAACGATTCCAAATCCTGTGGGAAATTGTCACATGAGTTTGAAATGAACTGAGAATCTGGTTTTCCCATGATGCTGAGGTTTCAAAGGTGGTTAGGTTTCATAATGTTTGAAGTGACTAGCTGTTCTAATTTGGCATTTAAAGACCAGGACCAGTGCCAGGCTTTGCCAAGTGAACCCAGATGGCTACAAGTTTTTCCAACAAACAAACGGTAGAAAAACATGTTCTTGAAAGAGCCTTTATTATCATACATCTTTTGCTCCTGTCTAAAATCTCATACCTTAAGGCTCCTCAATTCCCTACCAACAACAATGACAGATAACACGTTTCTGTCTTTTCTTGTTTCTGCTTAAAGTTGCTGTTGGAAAAACAGAGATCTATTTAAAGAGATGGAGTTAGTGAGACCATTTGCTTTTCAACATACATCCATCCATCCATCCATTTTCTTTACCCGCTTATTCCTTTTTGGGTCACGGGGGTCGCTGGTGCCCATGTCCAGCAATCACTGTGCGAGGGGCGGGGTACACCCTGGACGGGTCGCAAGTCCATCACAGGGCCACATAGAGACAAACGAGACAAACAAACATTCACTCTCTCACTCACACCTAGGGACAATTTAGAG